TTGTGAGGTCTGAAAGGAATATTGCTGATCCTTTCACGAAGGGCCTAAACAGGAAGGCCTCCTTGATACGTCAAAGGAAATGGGTTTGGGACCCATAGATACTCTGTAGCCAGTCATGGTGGTCTGCGATGAGGTAGACTTGACAGAGTTGAAGGTCTATCCTAGAATAGACCTAACAGGGGATATCTCAGGGTCGTGAGTGTGACCTCATGAGATTCAAGGCGACCAAAGAAAATTAAGTGCGTTGAGTTCAAACTTTGTCTATTCGATGAGTTCAAGATCAAATTCACTCCCGTCTAGAGAAGTACTTAATGTCACTATATGACAGTTCAAGTTTTATACACTGGCATGAAAATTTGTTTTGATCGTTATCAGGCAATGACAGCATCAGCCTAAATCCCTTTAATGGTGGGGGATTGTTGGTAGCATTTAAAGGGAAAGGCTTACTTTTGCCTTCCCATTTTGTCCCACATTGGAAGTTTAGCCTCTTGTTACCTTACTTATATACTCCAAGGCTTTTCATCTAACTTGAAGTGTTATGAGAAGGGAAAAGAGGTAGACCACGCGCGCGCCGCCGCCGCCGCCCGCCCGCTCGGCTCGTCACGACGCGCGGTGGGGTCAACATTTTGCTCTACGTATTAAATTTCACACCCTATTTTTATGGATCATTGTAATGACCTTGTCATTACAACTTCATGTAAGAGTGGACAGAATTTGTCCTCTTCCTTTCTTTTAGCGCTACATTTGTGGTAGTGTGAGGTGGGGTGCTATAATGGGATGCATCATTACACTATAAATAGGAGACATTAGACAAAGGGAAAAAGGCACCACTAACAGTAAACACTTCTACTGTTTGCGTTTCTTTCCCTTTGTGTTCTTCTGGTTTGCTGTTCTGTTTTGCTGGTCGGAAACATACGACTCAATCCCAGGTCGTGAATGTTTTTAAGGCAGTGTGTTGCACACGATACAGAACTCTAATCTGAGTCCCTTTTTCCCCACAATTCTCGTCCCTACTAGCAGAAAATACAACAACATATAATTAAATAACAATAATAATAGTATCACTAACACACCCCCTCAAGCTCAAGGTTGGCGCTCTACAACATTGAGCTTGTCTCGTAAAGCTGTAAACCAGTGCCCAGGTAGAGGTTTGGTGAAGACGTCGGCTAGCTGATCCTTGGTCAATACAAAACTAACTACAAAATCCCCTGAAGCTACCTTGTCTCGAACGAAATGATAGTCAATCTCAACGTGCTTCGTCCGAGCGTGGAACACCGGATTAGCGCAGAGATAGGTGGCCCCTAAGTTGTCACACCATAGGCTTGCAGGTTGTTCCGTATGGAGACCGAGTTCACGTAACAACGAGACAACCCAGGTGACTTCTGCTGCAACATCGGCTAGAGCCTTATACTCAGCTTCAGTGGAGGATCGAGCGACGGTGCGCTGCTTCCGGGAGAGCCAAGAAATGAGATTGCCTCCAAGAAAAACAGCATAGCCACTAGTACTCTTCCTGTCCACCGGACATCCAGCCCAGTCGGAGTCTAAATAGGCGTGTATGGTGCGAGTAGGAGAGGAAGAAAGGTGGAGCCCATAGTGCAGCGTGCCCTTGATATACCGTAACACACGTTTCATCATGGCTCAGTGATCGCCTGTACGTTCCAGTTAAGAGCCTAACATTATTGGCTCTTATTAGAATTGTATATTGTATGTAGAGTAGATTAAAGTCATAGAGCCATGGCCATCTATCTATATAATAAAGCCATAGAGTCGAGACCAATCGAATGGTTGCATTTTCCCTGACATCGTTTGGAATGGAGAATATTGCCGTAAAACATTTTTAATTAATTTAGTTTAGAAAAACTTTACAGTAATTGTCTTTGTATTAAAGACTAACTATATAATATTGCAAATCAATTCAAAAATCTTCAGCTTTTCCACAAATAATGTTGTTTGAAAATGAATGTTACAATATACATAATATACTTTCATAATTTTACCAATAATTATAACAATAACTATTATGAATTTTTAGTCCGTACATCACACAGGTGACATACTAGTTTGGTATAAGGGTCAAATAGATCTCAATTATATACCAAAGTGTAAAAAGACGCTTGAACTAAAAATAAACATTTAATTAGACCCTTAAACTTGTTAAATTTATGCAATTAACTTATTTGACCTATAATAGCATGTTACTCCTAAAGGCATCCTCAATATTAAGGGTTTTGGTGTGTTTTTTGATGAGTTTTTTGTAGTTATGATTAGGAAAGAGAAAATGGGAGGAGGTTAAAAAAAAAAAACCAAATGTCAGCAAAATTCGATGTGAGACCCACACTTGCTGCTTTAATTTCCTAGGCACATGTGCATCCATGCACAACTTGCTCCTTTCTTATTTTCTTTGTGGGACCCATACAATGGGACAAAGCTGACAAAATTTTTCTTTCTTGCAGGAGAAAGAAATTCTCAAAATCCACCACTCCCATTTGTGAAAAGCTTAACAAAGGAGATCTTACTATTCCAAAAGCCATAAATGAACCCCCCCTATTGGGGTTGCTCTGAGCCACCTGCCACGTAGGATGCCACTTAGATTAACATTTTTTAAAAAAATTATATTTTTATAAAAATTAAAATAATAATATTTATTTATAAAATATTAAATTAAATCTATACTATATATAAAAACAAAATCCTGAAATTTTAACTTTCCGCCCAATTCCTAAAAAATCTATCTTCATAATAAAATATATTGATTTCTACTTTCCCATTCGTACAATAATTCTGGGTTAAAATTCTATTCTAATATTATAAAGTAGTGTAATACAATTTCTATTGTAATCTATACTTCTATGCTATATATAAAAACAAAATCCTGAAATTTTAACTTCCCGCCCAATTTCTAAAAAATCTCTCTTCCTAATAAAATATATTGATTTCTACTTATCATTCGTACAATAATTTTGGGTAAAAATTCTATTCTAAAATTATAAAATAGTGTATACAATTCCTATTGTAATCTATACTATAAATGAAAACAAAATCCTGAAATTTTAACTTCCCGCCCAATTCATAAAAAATATATCTTCCTAATAAAATATATTGATTTCTACTTTCCCATTTGTACAATAATTCCATGTTAAAATTCTATTCTAATATTATAAAATAGTGTAATACAATTCCTATTGTAATCTATATCGATACTATATATAAAAACAAAATCCTGAAGTTTTAGGGGCCGTTTATTAACTGGAAATTTCCAGAAATTGAAAAATAGAAAATAGAAAACATGTTTACTAACACAGTTTTCCATTTTGAAAACTGAAAACAATTTCTGCAAATTCCAGAAAAACTGAAACACACTTAAAAACTGTTTTCAAAATAGAAAACAGAATCACCTATCGTCTATTTAGTTATATGTCACTATAACCACATTCATTATCATCTTATTTTACTTATCATTATCTTTTATCTTTTTTTTACTTACTTTACTTATTTAAACATAATTTATTTGCTTATACTTTAAAGTTAGACATTATTTACATTATCGAAATTAAGAATTAAACTCTATATAATGTTTTAGATTTTGATTGAACACAATAGGCCACTGAACTCAAAATGCACACCAAAATACAATTAGGCCATTGAACTCAAAGTGCACACCAAAATGCAATTAGACCTAATTGCATGATTTTGTGTAGTTTAGGGACCCAATTGCATTATTTTTGAGTTCGATGGCCTAATTGCACTTTGGTGTGCAGTTCAGTGGCCTATTTGACCCTTATTCCTATTTTTAATTATGTTACATCATAATACAAGTTCGATCCAGATATCGGATATTGAAATCTCACATATATTAGAATTCAAAGTAAAAATTATATATTCCTATACATGTCATTCAAATGAATTTATCCAAAAAAAATATTTTAAATATTAGCTCAAAAAATATTAATATTATCTAAACTAAATTTTAGGTGAAATTTGAAAAATTAGAAAACAGAAAACAGATAACAGTTTTCTGTTAGTAAACAAGTTTTCTAAACAGAAAACAGAGAATGGAAAACAGAGAATGAAAACTGAAAAATAGAAAACAGAAAACAGAAAACAGTTTTCTGTTAGTAAATGGACCCTTAACTTCCCGCCCAATTCCTAAAAAATCTCTCTTCCCAATAAAATATATTGATTTCTACCTGGGTAAAAATCCTATTCTAAAATTATAAAATAGTGTAATACAATACCTATTGTAATCTATATCTATACTATATATATATATATATATATAAACAAAATCCTGAAATTTTAATTTCCCGCCTAATTTCTAAAAAATCTCTCTTTCTACTAAAATATATTGATTTCTACTTTCCCATTCGTACAATAATTCCGGATTAAAATTCTATTCTAATATTATAAAATCTACGTATGAAATTGTTGAAACGGGACAAGACTACTTGTTGGATTAATTTCAGGTATGAACGGTTGCATTCATTCTGTTTCTTTTGTGGGCTCTTGGGGCATACATACAAATTCTGTGTCAAAGCCCGGGTGTCTACGATACCGGTTCATCTTTATCCGTATAATGCGGAGTTGAGAGTTGGGGGAGGGCGTGGACCGAGGGAGGTGGGGGAGAACTGGTTGGTTCCAGTGGGGGGACTACCAAGGGTAGCTGAGGGGACACGGGATGAGGGAGGCCGGAAGGGAGGAGTGGTGGGGGAGGGTATGTTACGGCCGGTTGTAGTTGATGAGGCCGAAGAGGCGATTGAGGTGGTTTCGAAAAGGAGAAGGGAAGGGGGGCATGAGGGGGAAAGGCGGGGAAACGGTCAGGACATTACCATGACAGATGTGTCAAAAAACTTGTTTATGGCGGGTGCTGGTTCCCAGACCCGCCCAACATCATGAGTACGTTGAGTTGGAACTGTCGTGGCTTGGGTAATCCACGAACAGTTCGAGAGATTGTGGACATGGTGTCCAGTAAGAAGCCTGACTTTGTATTTCTAATGGAAACTATGGTTGCCCAGGATCATGCAGAGCGTCTCCGGGTCAAACTTGGTTTTGATGGTGTGTTTAAAGTTGATAGTGTTGGAACGAAAGGCGGATTGGCATTACTATGGAGAACGAATGGTACGGCAAGCCTGTTGAGCTACTCTAAAAATCATGTGGATATTGAGGTAACGATGCCGGGATTTAATAAGTGGAGGATGACAGGGTATTATGGTTATGCGCAAAGGGAGAGATGGAATGACTCTTGGGAATTCATCAGATCCTTATCACATCGCTCTGAGTTGCCATGGGTTATTATAGGGGATTTTAATGATCTCTTATATCAGTATGAGAAGCGGGGGGGAAATCCCCACCCAGAGGCACTGTTACGAGGCTTCGGGGAAACTATTGATGAATGTGGCCTGGCTCAATTACCCATGCAGGGGTACCCGTTTACCTGGGAAAGAGGGGAAGGGACTGTAGACTGGATTGAAGAAAGATTGGATAAGGTGCTGGTCACACAGGAATGGCGAGATATGGTGAGAGATGCAAGTGTCTTGAACATTCTAACCCGGCGCTCAGATCATTCTGCTCTTTTCCTTGGGATTCTGAATCTTCGGGAAAGGACAGGTGGTGGGAGAAAAGGGTCCCGTTTTGAGATGGCCTGGCTCCATGATGAAGGCTGTAGAGGAGTGGTTGAGACGGCATGGACGGAAGGAAGGGACAGAGGTTTACAAGCCTGTATCGAGTTATGCGGTAATAATTTATCACGATGGGGGGGGGGGGGGTGATAAGTTCCATAGATTTGATGAGAAATTGAAATGCCTACGTAAGGAGCAGTTGCGACTACGGGGATGCACAGACCAATATTCATTAGTTGAATATCAGCGTTTGGAGGAACGCCAGGCCCAGTTAGAGGCTCAGGAGGATGCTTTTTGGAGACAGAGGGCGAAGCAACACTGGCTGAAGGGGGCAGATGCGAATACAAAATATTATCACAGGTATGCCTCGAAAAACACAATTTCTAAAATTATGAATGATGATGGGGATTGGGTGGAAGGAGATGCCATGAGAACAACTATTTTTGATTATTATCGGAATATTTTCTCGTCAAATCCATCTCAAATAGATGAAAGTTTTTATGCCAATGTCTTGCCCCGGGTGACACACACACAGAACGAAGCATTACTACGCCCCTTTGAAAAAGATGAGGTGAGAACGGCCCTGTTTGCTATGTTCCCGGATAAGGCACCTGGCCCGGATGGAATGAATTCGGGCTTTTATCAGCAGTTCTGGGATGTGGTGGGAGGTGATGTATCGGATTTTATTGTGAATTGTTTGAATACACGGACTTTCCCAACCAATTTAAATGATACTGATGTGGTTCTAATACCAAAGAAGAAAAATCCAGAACGGGTCTCGGACCTCAGACCTATAGCGCTAAGCAATGTGATTTATAGGGTCATGGCGAAGATGATTTCAGCCAGGATGAAGCCACTCATGGATGATATTATTTCTGATACACAAAGTGCATTCATACCTGACAGATTGATTACAGATAATATTTTGATTGCTGCAGAGGTTGGACACTTTTTGAATAGAAAACAATGTGGAAGAATGGGATGGGGTGCTTTAAAGCTGGATATGGCAAAAGCGTATGACCGAATGGAATGGCCCTTCCTGCGAAGTATGTTAACAGCTTTGGGATTTAATAATATATGGGTGGATCTTATCATGTTGTGTGTGACTACTGTGTCTTATAATATTAAACTGAATGGAATCCGAGGATCGCCGATTGTCCCGTCTCGCGGACTCAGGCAAGGAGACCCGTTATCACCATATCTATTTATTATCTGTGCGGAGGGACTCTCTTTGTTATTACAGCAGGCACAGGTACAAGGTGCGATTCACGGGTGCAGAGTAGCAAGGGGGGCACCCTCTATTTCACACCTATTTTTTGCTGATGATAGCCTTTTATTCTTTAAAGCAAATGTGCAGGAAGCAAATGCGGTTAAGCAGTGTTTGACACGGTATGAAAATTTATCTGGCCAAGTGGTAAATTACCATAAATCCAGCATATGCTACAGTAAGAATACACAAGATGATGATAGGGATGCAGTGGCACAGATACTTGGGGTTGCTCAAGCACCAAATTTTGGGAAATATTTGGGCCTCCCCTCATTTATTGGAAGGAATAAGAAGGCAGCTTTTTCGTATATTGAAGACAAGATAAGGCAGAGAATCCTTTCTTGGAATAAGAAGTTACTATCGCAAGCTGGTAAGGAAGTCTTATTGAAAAGTGTGGCTCAGGCAATGCCCACTTTCTCAATGAGTGTCTTTTTACTACCTATGGGAATTTGCACAGCTATTGAGCGAGTCATGAACCGATATTGGTGGGGGTCTGGGAATGAACGTGGAATTCATTGGAAGGCTTGGGACAAGATGTGCATACCAAAAAAGTATGGTGGCCTAGGGTTCAAAGAACTGCATGCATTTAATATAGCAATGCTGGGAAAACAGGCGTGGCGGTTTTTAACGAAACCTGACTCATTGGTCTCACGAGTTTACAAAGCGAGATATTATCCAAAAGGGACCTTTTATGATGCCAAGATAGGAAATAACCCCAGTTTCTGTTGGCGCAGTATAATGGCAGCTCAGAGCATGGTTTGTGGTGGAATCAGGCGCAGAATTGGAAATGGAAAAACAACCCTAATCTGGGATCACCCATGGATGCATGATGAACATGACCCAATGATTCATACTGATAAGCCACCATATTTGAATAATGCAGCAGTGGTGGGATTAATTGATCATGAGACACACACCTGGGATCCGGATATATTGACAGATATTTTTAATCCTGCAGATGTGGCTAGAATAAAAAAGATCCCAGTATCACCAGATTATGAGGATATGTGGTATTGGTATGATGATCAGGGAGGTAATTATACTGTTAAGAGTGGCTACAAAACAATTATGGGAAGTCTCAATGATAATACAGGCACCCATAATTGGTTGTGCCTATGGAAGTTAAAAGTCCCCCCCAAATGGAAAACATTCTTATGGAAAGCTTTGAGTGGTATCCTCCCTACCACAACAAACTTGATTATAAAGAGAGTGGATGTACAACCAACATGTGCTATGTGTGGAATAATGGATGAAGACACAATGCATGCTTTAGTAACATGTGATTATGCAACATCCATTTGGGCTCAATCTCACCTTCCAATCCCCATGATCACAACAAATATTTTTCATGCTTGGTTTAGTGATCTATTGAATATTTTAGACACTAACCAAATTGTTCACGCAGCTGCAATTTTATACCATATTTGGAGAGCCAGGAACGGAGCGGTATGGGATGCCTGTCTACCGCGACCACGAAAAGTGCTAGCCTTGGCCAAAGCCACCATACTTGCATGGCAGCGGGTCCACCACACCCATCACCAAGTGAACCACCAGGCTGTCGTGCAATGCCATATTACCGCCACTGCCGCGGCACAGCAACAGCGGCAACACGACACTGCCGGCGCACAGGTAACGCCCGAGGAGGCTGCCCACGAGGTGTTGCGGATGGAAACTACCGAGCCAGTACGCAAATGTTACATCGATGCCGGTTTTATGCCTGCTTCAGGAAAGGCTACGGTTGGCGCGATTTTACTCAACGAGGAAGGGGAATATGTATCGGCTTTCAGTGCACCATTATCAAATTGTCTCTCACCGCTTATGGCTGAGACAATAGCATGCAAGGAAGCCTTGTCTTGGCTATGGAATCGTGGAGAACGTTCAGTATGCTTACTTACAGATTGTTTGACCCTACAACAATATTTGACAAGTCAAGTTGTCACGATACGGACTTACGTAGGCTATGCCATTGATGCTTGTAGAGCACGCATTACTTCTTTTGATTACTGCTCAGTTAATTTTATTCATAGATCAGAGAACTATTTAGCACATAGATTAGCATCTTCTGCATTTAATTCTCCTACAGCTATGTATTCGGACGATGTCCCTCCAGACTCTATTTCTGAGTACTTTTAATATATGCCTCATTGGCCACCTTTCAAAAAAAAAAAAAAAACTTCATGCCCAATTCCTAAAAAAATCTATCTTCCTAATAAAATATATTGGTTTCTATTTTCCCATTCGTACAATAATTCTGCGTCAAAATTCTATTCTAATATTATAAAATAGTGTAATACAATCTATACTATATATAAAAACAAAATCCTGAAATTTTAACTTCCCGCCCAATTCCTAAAAAATCTCTCTTCCTAATAAAATATATTGATTTCTACTTTCTCATTCGTACAATAATTCTGCGTTAAAATTCTATTCTAATATTATGAAATAGTGTAATACAATCTATACTATATATAAAAACAAAATCCTGAAATTTTAACTTCCCGCCCAATTCCTAAAAAATCTCTCTTCCTAATAAAATATATTGATTTCTACTTTCCCATTCGTACACTAATTCTGCGTTAAAATTCTATTCTAATATTATAAAATAGTGTAATACAATCTATACTATATATAAAAACAAAATCCTGAAATTTTAACTTCCTGCCCAATTCCTAAAAAATCTATCTTTCTAATAAAATATATTGATTTCTACTTTCCCATTCGTACAATAATTCTGCGTTAAAATATCCATTCTAATATTATAAAATAGTGTAATACAATCTATACTTCTATACTATATATAAAAACAAAATCCTGAAATTTTAACTTCCCGCCCAATTCTTAAAAATCTCTCTTCCTAATAAAATATATTGATTTCTACTTTCTCATTCGTACAATAATTTTGCGTTAAAATTCTATTCTAATATTATGAAATAGTGTAATACAATCTATACTATATATAAAAACAAATTCTGAAATTTTAACTTTCCGCCCAATTCCTAAAAAATCTCTCTTCCTAATAAAATATATTGATTTCTACTTTCCCATTCGTACAATAATTATGCGTTAAAATTCTATTCTAATATTATAAAATAGTGTAATACAATCTATCTATACTATATAACAAAATCCTGAAATTTTACCTTCCCGCCCAATTCCTAAAAAATCTCTCTTCCTAATAAAATATATTGATTTCTACTTTCCCATTCGTACAATAATTATGCGTTAAAATTCTATTCTAATATTATAAAATAGTGTAATACAATCTATCTATACTATATAACATAATCCTGAAATTTTACCTTCCCGCCCAATTCCTAAAAAATATCTCTTCCTAATAAAATATATTGATTTCTACTTTCCCATTCGTACAATAATTCTGCGTTAAAATTCTATTCTAATATTATAAAATAGTGTAATACAATCTATACTATATATAAAAACAAAATCCTGAAATTTTAACTTCCTGCCCAATTCCTAAAAAATCTATCTTCCTAATAAAATATATTGATTTCTACTTTCCCATTCGTACAATAATTCTGCGTTAAAATTCTATTCTAATATTATAAAATAGTGTAATACAATCTATACTATATATAAAAACAAAATCCTTAAATTTTAACTTCCCCGCCCAATTCCTAAAAAATCTCTCATCCTAATAAAATATATTGATTTCTACAATAATTCTGGGTTAAAATTTTATTGTAATATTATAAAATTGTGTAATACTATTCCTATTCTAATCTATATCTATTTTATATATAAGTGTTGCAAAAATCGTGTCGCTGGCCGCGGCGAGAATCGGCCTCCTCAGCAGGCGCCTCGCCGGCTGAACCGGCCTTTAATTTTTTTTTTTTTTTTTAGTTGTAAAGTGTCAAAAGTTCGGCAAGGCATAACTTTTGACTCCGTTGTCCGTTTTGGACAAATTTTTTTTGAAATCGCGTATTTTTTCGAGATCTATCCACCGCAAACTGTCGTAGGCGGTTTGGCCAACCAATTTCTAAAAAAAAAAATACTTTATTAAAGAGTTTCTAAGAAAAAACTATGAGAACCTTATGTTTTATTAATGAATTTTTAAAATTTTTAATTAAACAATTGTCCCGTGCATTATTTAATAATCTTTCTTTATAATTGGTCAAGTTATTTAATTATGGTAAATTTGGAAATAATTAAGGATTGTAATAGAAATCCTAGAAGAATATAGAATTGAACAATAATTAATTATTGTTATATTATTATTGTGACTCACGGAATACAAGAGTTAATGCCATTTTTTGTTCTAGACTTATTGGGGCATTGACACTTTTCATCCTCCATAATAAAAATTGTCACTTAGTAGCCACTGTTATTGATCGTTGGACAGTTTTGATCCTCCGTCAATGACGCCGTTTGTTGACCGTGAATTAGAAGGGTTTTTCTGTCTTTTTATGTTCTAATCGTTGTATTTCTCTATCCATTGGTCACTGCTACATCCATTTCTTCAAACTGAGGTTATCCGCTTCAGTCCTTTCTAACATTAAGAAACCATCTTCACCCAACTAACAATCACGGATTTTACATTTGACATCAATCTCAAGATAATGGAAACAAGTGAAGTTGGAATAGAAAGGGCGTTAGTCCATGCCTATGAAAATTTTGTCGAGCATACAACATAACTAGCAAAGTCAGGAATATCACCCAACCCCTCCCTTAACCTTTCTGCATCAACTATAATAAGTATGCCCCTACTCTTTGCCTCCTGCACTACAATCAAAGCAGTCTCATGCAGCCTTCCATCTAAGTAGACAATATTTACTACAAGCGCTGAAGACAATTTTGATTTGGGTATGTAGACCCTCAGATATCATGGGTGGATATCCTGGAGTGAAAATGCACGTGCGAGTTTTTTTTTTTTTTTTGGTTGTCAACAATGACATATGTGAATGGTGAGTTTCCTCCTTTGGACACCACCATAAAAGATGTATCAACACCATCCCTTTCAAGCTCATCAAGTATTCTTTCGCCATGCGAGTCATCAGCAACCTTAGATATGATCCTTGGATTAACACCAAGACGAATTTTATCATCCGGGTTTTATCAAAGCATTGCCAGTGTTACCACCTCCTTGAACCTCAAAGCTGGTGCTCCGAATTTTATCATCCGGGTTGGGGAATGAAGCTACAGCAACCAGGAAGTCAACACCGGCCATTCCAACACCTCAGACAATGCGGTTTTTGGGGAGTGGCAGATTCCACATTTTCAGCTTGAAACTTCAATGAATTCAGGTAGAATAACAGAGTTTTTGAGGTTGTGCACCAAGTAGTTGTGGTTAGAGAGAGAGAGAGAGATGGGAAGGATATTTGTGGTCAATATGGAAGGGAGGACTTACAGGTGCAAATTCTACATCACGCCATCTACAACTACAACTGCTATTTATCATAGGAGGGTTCGTCGACCTGCTGCCCTCTCTGCTTCGCCGGAACCAAAAACCACCGGTGAAGGCCCCAACCTCGCCGGATCTGTTGCTGCACCGCCAGATCTGCCTTACTAGTCCGTCACCGGAAGGAGTTACTGCCTCGTATGCTCGCCGCCGTACCCACAACTCGCCAGAGAAGAACCTCGCTGCTACTCACTACCGACGGTTACTACTTAGCCTCACAGGAGTCACAGCAGCGCTGGTCTAAACAAGATTAGAAGAATAAGACATAAAAAGACAGAAAAGCCCCTCTAATTCACGGTCAACAAACGGCTTCATTGACGGAGGATCAAAACTGTCCAACGACCAATAACAGTGTCTACTAAGTGGCAATTTTTATTATGGAGGATGAAAAGAGTCCATGCCTCAATAAGTCTAGGACCACAAATGGCATTAACTCCGGAATACAATACAAGAATATTTAATTATGGTTATATTATTATTGTGCCTCACGACCATTATATACTAACAGTACTTGAAAGAAACTAATAATAATAATAATAATAATAATAATAATAATATAATAATAATAATAATAATAATAATAATAATATCTAAAAGTAATTAAGTGTTAATAATAATCGTAAGAATATTAACGTAAGAGTTGTAACATATAATAAATTGTAATAATTAATAACTATAGTCTAGGATTAAATTTGGAATTGTCAGGAAAGATAAACGACCTGGTGAAATTAACTCTTAAATAATTATATATCGATTTAAATATTCTTACTATATTACAACAATTCCATTCCGTGCATCGCACGGGTGAAAATACTAGTTCTAGGTAAAAATTCTATTTTAAAATTATAAAATAGTGTAATACAATTTCTATTGTAATCTATACTATATATAAAAACAAAATCCGGAAATTTTAACTTGTCGCCCAATTCCTAAAAAATCTCTTTTCCTAATAAAATATATTGATTTCTACTTTCCATTCGTACAATAATTCCGGGTTAAAATTCTATTCTAATATTATAAAATAGTGTAATACAATTCCTATTGTAATCTATACTTCTATACTATATATAAAAACTAAATCCTGAACTTTTAACTTCCCACCCAATTCCTAAAAAATCTCTCTTCCCAACCAAATATATTGATTTCTACTTTCCCATTCGTACAATAATTCTGGGTAAAAATTCTATTCTAATATTATAAATAGTGTAATACAATTCGTATTGTAATCTATACTTCTATACTATATATAAAAATAAAATCCTGAAATTTTAACTTCCCGCCCAATTCCTAAAAAATCTATCTTCCTAATAAAATATGGAGAAGTGTCAAATAGCTACATCTACTACTGCCAAGTGCTCAATTCCCACCACGAACTAAACTAAAGACTAATTAATCACACTTACCTGCTAAATTTGTTCAATTGACTTTTTTTGCAGGTTGCTAACATGTTACCAATCCAATTATTAAAAAAATAATTAATTTTTTTAAAAAAAAAAAAACGGAATTTATAAGTTTTTGCTACTCAAATGGATTCATGGGACCTACTTCTACAACTCCAACCAAATCTTTTTACTTCACAATTCTAAGAAAATGAAAAATTAAAACATGGACTGCTATGTCATCCGATTAATTACTAAATATACACACCTTCAATTCCTTTGTCATACTAATACCAAGCCAAACACCAAATAACCAAATCAAGTAGGGACATGAAGAA